TGGAGTAAAAAGTTGGGATGAGTTAAAGAGCAATAATAGCAGGAGTAACACAAAGATAAGAGTATACTCTATTCTCCATCCCTGTATTTGTATTTGACTTGAGAGGCAAACATGTAGGTGGAAAAGTTCGACGAATCAGGAGTCCAGGTTCTTGGCAGGTGATCTGCTTAGACATGGAAGTCACATTCTGCAGCACTTCTCAAACTTTAATGTGTATATGGACCACCTGAGGGTCTAGTTAAACTGCAGATTCTAATTCATTGTTTGGGATAGGGCTTAAGATGACATTTTTAGCAAGCTCTCTGATGATGCTAATGCTGCTTGTCCACAGACCACACTTTGAGTAGTAAGGATGTCCTGAGGGACGTGGGGGTGGGAGGAAGTCTGTGAGCCAGGTACCAGAGACATCCGTGACCACAGAGGTGTGCCGTGGAGATCAATAAAGATAGTGATGAGGAGAAAAAGGATGAGTGGAGAGGCATAGTTGAGCTCAAAAGAGCACGAGTTTTAAAAGAGTGTCTGGAGAAATGATCTTGAAGCAGCATTGGGAAGTGAAGGAATCAGTGACTCCACAGCTTTATTTTAAGTCCGTGGAAAGTGTTTGAGAGAAAGCAATTTATACTTCAGGTCTGAAAAAGAGCAGTTTTTTTGCAAGAGAGCTGGGTTTCAGTTAGAGCAGGAGTTGTTGTAGAGAATATTCCATAAAGTTTTCAAATCATGAAATAGGATTTAGGAGGATGTCAGAAGTTTGAGGGATTTTTGTGGGGAGGAGTTTACATTTTGGACAGTAAATGAGAGAATTAGAGATGAATTCAGCTGGTGTCCTAGAGGTTTGGTGAGCAATCAGAGAACTTAGAATTCAGCTGCTTTCTGTGGGGAGCAAGTGTAATAATCTAATGTTAAATGGCAAGCTTGCAGGCTTTTAAGTCTAGTAGTCTAATGAGCTGAAGTGGGCACAGATCGTTCTGCATTGCTCAAGTAATGAAGACTAGATGGATGATTATAAGAAAAGGGTGTACTGTGAAACGACCTGTTTGGTGGTACGTTCCCAGCGGAATATTGAACAGTTTAAACTACTTATGTTTACTTTTGCCTAAATGATAATAGATGTATAAGGCAGAGGTAGGTTAGAATGAGCTAGGGCTCTCTAAGGAAAGGATGACCATGATAATCTTGATCATATATATTTCTCTAAAGCATTAAAAACCTACTTGTTCAATAAAATTGCCATAGAATAAAGCAGAGAACTACAAGCTTGTTGAAGTTGGCTTTTATTTTTCTTTCCCCCAGGGGCAAAAATTGTACAGATTTTGTAAATATTGTGGATGTTGCACATTGAAATCCACCATATCTTTGGCAAAGCTTAAGAAACATATCACGTTATTTGCTAATTTGCCTCAGTCAACGAGATCAACTGTGATTTGCTATCTGATGTTTCTTTGTAGCTTTCTTTACTATGTGCTTTGAAATTGGCTCTCATCATTTTTTTTTTCCTTATCTTTTTTTTTAGTTTCAGAAGCCACTAATGATTCGACAATAGATGATGTGGTAGAAAATCATGTTGCAGACCAACTTTCATCAGATATTACACCAAATGCTATGGATACTGAATTTTCAACATCTTCTCCATCCAATTTACTGGAACGACCAACCAATCATACAGAAGCTCTTGGTCATGATCATTTAGGAACTAATGACCTAACTGTAGGTGGATATTTAGAAAATCATGAGGAGCCAAGAGATAAAGAACAATGTCCTGAAGAGAATATACCAGCATCCTCACTCAACAAAGGAAAGAAATTGATGCATTGTAGAAGCCACGAAGAGGTCAACACTGAACTAAAAGCACAAATAATGAAAGAGATCCGAAAGCCAGGAAGAAGTATGTATAACTAGAGACAAATCTCAGATTTGATTTGTGTGTGTGCTCAGGAAAAAAAAAAAAAGTCAAATTAACTAAAAGTGTAGATCTGATTCTAGATCAGTCTTGAACAACATATGAGCTATATAAGATTTGATACTTTATTCAGCTGACAGACACTTACTGAATATCTGCTGTATCCAAAGTACTGTGCTAGGTATGGTGAGCAGAGGAAGAAGACACAGATAGATTATGCATAGTTCCTACCATGACAGGAACCCATAGTCTTGAGTGTTCTTCCAACTAGCAACTAGAATTTTAATGTAGCAGCAAACCCCCAAAAGATGTAGTGAATATTAATGACTTCATGTCTGTAAAGTTCTCGGCATAGTGCCTACCAATGTGTTTAAGATTTAAACCATGATAGTGACCAGGGGTATGTTTAGGCCAAAAAACTAAAGTTATGAAAGCTATCTATTGTATGAATACAAAAGAACTTTGTGGGATAAAATTTCAATATTACTGGCATTCCTTCAGAAGATGTTGACAGATCACCTGCTGTGATGGTACAGTGACCCATGGGTGGTCCAGAAGTGGCTAAGACTCAGTCCTTGCCATTTAGGAGCTTATAGTCCTTGGCAGAATTTTATGTGAAAACTTGAAACTGGAATAACACTCTTAACCTGTTTTATTATTTTTTCCTCCACTCCCCCCGCCCCATGTTAGCTATAGTTTAGAACTTAAATTATAAGGATGGGTTTTTATGAAGGCCACTTACTTCTTATTTTTCAGTGGCACTACCAAAAAGCTATTTATTCATCCTTCTAAGCTTTGTGTTTGATACCTTAATGGGAACTTTTACCAAAAAAGCAGTGTTTGACAAGTTATTTTATCTCTGTTGATATATGATGGAATATATGTATTATAAAATCTCTAATGAGCAGTGAAAATTTTATATAGAATATTTTTATTTTTGTCTTAGTATATCTTCATGTAGTAAACTACAATAGAAAAATATTGAATAAGAATGCAAAGGAAAGCCACTTAATTTTTCTTTTTGCTTCTCTTGTTTTAAGAATATGAAAGAATCTTCACTTTACTGAAGCATGTGCAAGGCAGTTTACAAACAAGACTAATATTTTTACAAAATGTCATTAAAGAAGCATCAAGGTAAATAATCTATTTCACATTATGAAATGATAATAAAATGAGTCCCCAGTTTATATAGTCAGTATTTTAACAGTATTTATTTTGTACTTCTGTTGTTATGCATGTATATGACACACACGTGTATATAAGTACTTCTCTTTTTTTTTTAGTTTATTGAAAGAAGTTCACTTAAAAAATAGCCGTACACAAATTCTTCAGAAATTATGGATCTTTTCTCCCTACAAATTACTAGATACTTGCATAATTCTCATTTATCCTGCTCTGTGGCTTTTTGGTGTCTTTATATTTTATAGCCTTTAATTTTTCTCCCTTGTATATTTGGACTACAGTTAATATTGATCAGTGATTAGAAATAACCTTGAAAGGCAATATTTGAATGCAGTTCGTTTGTACATGGGAAAACATGTAATTAAGGGGACCAGAGTTGGACAAATGGGCCTTATTCTGATTGCTTCAGTAGCCTAGGATTATGTACTTTAGTATAAGAAATGTGGATCAAGATTATAAATGGTAACTACGAAGTGCGATGAACTGGAAAAGCATAGTTGTATGAGTTTAGTGAGTACGGAAAGCATTATTTTATTTTTTCTTTAAGGCCTTTAGAATTTTAATATTGTAAGAAAACTTAGGGTTTAATATACCCACCCTTTAATTAGTCTCCCAGTTTCTTCCATGCTACACATAAAAGTGTTTTTAGATAACGCAGTTAATTCTTTTTTTTTTTTTTTTTTAAGTGACTAGTGCATTGGCCACTTTGAAGGTTCAAGATAAGGCCGTACTTTTCATATTATTTATTTTGAGTATTTATGCTCTTTATGTAACATTCTGTCAGCTCAAACTTCTTTATGGATTTAGCTATATTCCTGGTGCCTGCACTCTACTTCTGCCACCTTTTAGAGAGTTGTGTAATACTATGGTGGCTATTCATATTAGTTTACAGGCAGAGAGGAAGTAGGTATAGATTGGGCAGTGTTTTGGATATTGTAAAAAGCATCAGGAGTATGAATACTTATGTAGACGAATGCAATTTTAGTCTGCTATATTTATTACTGGAAAATTTTCAAAAATTGCCCCTTGAACTTGAACTGTTTGCTATATCCTGTATTACAGATGTCTAATTATCCTTGATTTGCTAGCTTTCAAATTGTGATAGTAGAACACCATGGTTTCATGCTACTGCTCAACTTTCATTTCTTCTTCCATTTTGTGGGGGATTATATTCATACTTTGTTCACATTCCTTTCAACATTCAGCTTTCAAGGAGCATAAGGAGAAGCTGTTGGAGTCATTGTTTTGGGATCCCAAATTTTGCTGGAATATTTGTAACCCTTGTGTGTATATAGGGGTTTTTTTTCTTTTTCTGTTTGATTGTGGGAGGAATAACCTCTTTCCCATTGTACCTATGCCTGGATTGTTTGTTTTAGGAACAAACTGTAATAGTGTACTGATAAAATAATTTGCTAATCTCCCAACAGATTTTATATATCATAAAGTTGTTCGTTTTTCATTTTCATTTCTCTTTGAAAAATCTTCCCAACGCAGTTTCTCTCTTTTTAAAAGAACATTATACTGATATATAACTATCTGTTAAAAGGAAATTGAGAGTGCTATTACTTATTTTTTTATACAGGTTTAAAAAACGAATGCTAATAGAACAACTGGAGAACTTCTTGGATGAAATTCATCGAAGAGCCAATCAGATCAACCATATTAATAGCAATTAAAAGAAAACAGAATGTGGCCACTTATTTCACTATCTTCTCCAAATACAAAGTAAATACAAGACTGTTGTGATCTTGCATTCATTTTTTGACATGCATTGTTGGCTATTTGAAATACTAAGAGCAAGTCTACAGATCCTTTTTCCATCATTTTACAGTGACCTTTTCTTCATTTTGGTTTATTTTTGTAATGTGAAAAGTATCACTCTAAAAAACATTTTTATTTAGCAAACTAAAAATATTCCTCCAAATCTTCTGCTTGTTATTGACTCTTGCGTGTCAATTTCCCTCAGGTTCTATTTTCTTAAACCAACCTTTAAAATTGTCACCTCTGTTAAGGTTGAACTTTGCCAAAAAAATAAAAAAGAAGAAGTTACTTTGTAATTTTTGGGGAAAAAAGCACATACATTAAAACTAGGTAATGTTTTGTATATACAGTTATTTTGGATATATTATTGTAAGTTGTACAAATGTATTTTGAAGAATATTTAAGAAAAGCACTTTTGTTATTCCATCAATAAATGCTCTATTTTACTCTTGTGTGGTTTAGGAAATAATCACATTTAAAGTAATCATTTAAAACCATCTTAAGATAATGGAATTTTAAAGGCCTTGCTTTTTAGCATTGGAAAAATACACCACTTGAAGTTCGTATTTGTTAAACCTAACTGTAATTACATGTTACATAATCTGCATTGTCTTTTTACTCTATGTTCTTAGTTTTTATTGGCCACACCAACATACTCATTTCTGCCTAGATAATGCAAACAGCGATACTGGTGGCAGATAGGCAGACTCTTCAAAAGCTGTTTAAAAAGCAGACACCTTTGGACGTTATTGGTTTTTTTACTTCCCTTCAACCCCTTTGTCTTTCTCACTAGGATTGTGGATGGCGCTAAGTTGAAGCTTAGTTAGGGAGTGGTAAGTTTGGAGTACACCGCATAACTCTGAAATGTCTAGCCTTTAGCAGCTTAATGCCATGCTTACAAAAGGCCCACAACAGATTGGGGCTTCAAAGGGGATCTCTTTGTTCTGCTCTGCTAGTCTCACCCTTAAACTCTCCGTTTTATTTAGAAACTAAATGGAAAGGAAACACATTTAAGATGGCTTTGCTCATTTCGCATTCTCTCTGAGTTACCCAGAATAAGGAAAAACCCACGTTACTCATGGTCCACCCTCAGTCCAAAAGGGCCTTGCATGTCCTTATTGAGGAAGTGACCCTATGACCTGACTCACTCACCATTCATAGATCACTCCTGTGCCTTGTAGTGCTTTTGGGGTAACCAATAGAAAAGAAGGTTAAAATACATTTAGATTAAGAGAGGGCAAAATAAATTTATAAAATTATAGTAAAATTGAAGTATTTTTAGGTTCATAATATTTGAAAATCACATACCCTTTTTACACTTTAGCAGAACATTTTTTAAATTTCAAGGGTATAGCAAAATGAAATTGTAAGTTTTTATGAAGAAAAGCATAGATGAAAGTGGAGAACATGCTTTTGAGATCTGTTAATTTAGTCTAGGGGATTTGACACTCTCCCAATACTGAAGACAAACCCTGTCAAGAAAAAGAAGCATTAATGTAATGTTATCTAGTATTTTCATATGCAATTCTTTAAACCTTTTTTACCTCTACAAAATACCTTTAAGTAAAGCAGGATACCATTTAATAGATGGAATTGTTTAGGTAATTACCTGCAGTCACATTGCTAAATTCAACAAGAGCTACACAAAATCGAGAATATATTGTCTGGTCTTAAATTATATATATTTAGATTCTGAGATTAATAGAAGGGATTACAAGTCATCTAGATAAAAGTTCATACTTAATAAGAATATTTAGGAAAAGGATTCAGCCTATTCCAATATTTAGCAGCTTTCCTTATCAGCAAGTTCTTATTTCCGTTCCACAGTTTGCTCGTGAGGTAGTAGTCCTTTAGACCCTTGAACTTGAATACATTTTCTGGGATGAACCCTAGAGGGAGTTGGGAAGAAGCACTTTGTTCAGGCTCCTCTTTTTGTCCTTAATCTCTCTGCCACTGTACTCTACACCCTCATCCCCAAACCTGGTTATTAGGTTTGAAACCTATCGAAACTCAAGCTTAATATCCCATCTCTTGCAGGTTTTTATGTAGAAGTCTTCTTGTAAGCAAAGGGGAGGGGTGTATATATGAGGGAAGTATCATGTTTTTAGGCCCTTCAGATCACTGGATGACTTTAGGCTGGACAAATGATATTCTCCAACAGGTTAATCTTGAGGTTAAGATCGATTGTCTTTCTGTTCCCGTATGTGTCCCATTTGTCACTTGAGTCATTATTTGCCCTTGTCAGTAAGATTTATCAATTTGGTATACAAAAGGCTGAGACTTACTTCTTCTATCTCTTCAATACCCCTGTCACCAGAAGAGTAGCCCCTTTGCCTTGTGTGGTACAGGCAGGTACCTCCCAGAAAGACAGGTCAGTGAATTCACAAGGACTATATTTAGACATGCGGCGGGTTATGGAACTGGCTTTGGATTAGCCTTATATTTTCACTCTGTTTTCTAAGGCAGTTCTGAAAACTCATATCATTGAAATAGTGGTGTGTCCTTTACTAGTTCAGAGATTTCATGTTTTATGCAGTTGAATTCCCAAAGAGAAATCATTCTCGTTTAACTGTCAGCAACCTTGATTGGCTATCAGCTTTTGGCAATGACCTTTCTGTTCAAGTTTAGTCCTGTCTGTCTGTTTCTTGAAGGAGTAGAAACCTGTCATTTTTTTCATCTTTCATTTTTTGACGTGTATCCTTTCTAAGAGAGGGTTTTCTCTTGCTTGTTCTGAGTGATAAGTGACATTTTCATCTAATAAATATGGAGCTGGGATGACCATGGTGAAACAGTAGAAGGATATATTCTGTTGATGGACTTTTTCTTCCCAAATAATCCCAAAATCAATTATTTCCTAGTGAATGATTATCTTCATCCTTTTTGTCACAAAAGTGTTCCTTTGATTTCTAGCACAAGTGTCAGCAGTATGCAAATGATTCTCAGATAAAATGATGTTGACAGTATTTTCTTAACAATTTGTGTAAAACCTATGCGTAATTTTCATTATTCTGACTTTTGACTTTCTCTCCATAAATAAAAATAATGCCTGATGTTTAGTTAAAGTAGATCCACTTTTGCTTGATTTTGTTAGTCTTGTTCCATCCTATTTCTTTTTAACACATTGTTTAGACTTGCCAACAACTCTTTACTGAGAATCTCTTTTCCTTCCTAGGCTGATAATTGTTGGGGGTGGGGGACATTAAGAGAAATAATTTGAATACTTTGTTCAATATTGTTGACGCTTAAAGGACTTCTGCTTGTCCTTCTGATGTGCTAAGGCTTTGCCTGTACAATACCATCGTTGGATTAAGATGAGGTTGTATAGCGGGGCTTAAAAGTGCTAGGGCAAATATTATTTTTGTGTAATTTCAGCTTGAGAAAAGCTTGAGAAACATCAACAGAAAAGCTGTAGAAATCCAGGTGCATTCACTAGAATACTAGGGTTGCTGAGAAAGGACTACTTGGATACTCTAGTGGCCTGAAGGAACCATCTTCTATCCTACAATGATGAGAAAGCTAAGCAACAGCTGGGAAAAAAGTCAAGAATTATCATTTTACTTTCATGATTTTTCTAAGTCTCCCCAGATGTAGAAACCTACATTTGAAAAAAGAAATCTACATCAACTATAAATGAGCTGAGAGAAAGAGAAGGCAAAAAACCCACAGAGAATATTAGTTTCCTTTGTAGTTATGAAATATTCCCCCTTTTCAGGATTCCTGACACAGCAACTGGGAAGCTTCTGAAGCACCATAGAAACTAGCTAGAAGGAATGCTTGTTTTAGGCTCCAGTGGACAAATGAGTCCTTGTTGCTAGAGAGACACTGATAAATATTTAATTTATATGAATTCTATCAAAAAATACCTTAATACCTGTGTTGGATTCTCTCAGGAAAAAGATGAATGGTCGATCTCCTTTAAAAATAGGAATCCGAGACCTTTTCAGTAACAGCAGAGCTGCAGGAGTGAGAAAGAATAGAAGAATCCCGTTGCATTTTCTATTCATTTGATGAAAGTCACTATTAAAATTGGATACGAAGTCAGTTACATCTGTTCATTTTTGAAGAAATAAAAGCAGCCTAATGATATTTCATTGTTTAGTGTTATGAGGGGGTGCAAATGGGAAAATTAAAAAGATACTACTTAGCCAACCCTGTGTCCTATTTTCAAAATATTCCATGAAATAAACTCCTTACTGAAGCTAATTTTCAGAATGACTCTCTTCCTTGTTTATGGGGATGATGGTACAAATCCTTTTCAAAATGGATACCTCTTTTCTCCCATCATTTTTCAAAAACTTGGCTCTCTGTTAAGATTTATTTTTGAAAAATGATGTACGCTACATCTGGACTTGAGGGTTTTTAGTGGGAAGGTTTAGAAGTAGGGATGTTGAACTGGATAAATCTAACAAAGGTAGATGTGGGGAGGCAGTGTGACCAAGTATCGCTGACTTCCCCTTGTGAACGTACCTGTGGCTGCAGATGTCCTGGTGCCTTCCTCTGAAACCTCAATCTTGGCTGTGTGGATCGCTTCAGAAACATAAAAGCCATCTTGGCCTAACCCCAGGAAATAAAAATGTGAATTGCTTATTTGCATTTTTGATGCATTTAGTTTAAGAATTTGAGTACATTTTTAAAGAATGTACTTAGTTTCAGTCTCATGCTGCTTACTGTGTAGCTAGGGAGAGATTTGTTTGGAAAAATCTTAAGGTTCCATATTTCTTGCAACTTTTAAAACCTTAAATTTGATAAATTATCTAATAAATAGTTCCTACCAAATTAATATTCGGAGCTGCGCCCACTTTTTCAGTAGTTAATTTTCAAAGATAATTTCCAGTTAATATTTAAATCTTTCCTTCAGCCAATATTATTTCTAAAACTTCAGTGGTCATAAGAATTGCCAGAGTATGTGTTAAAATCTAGATTCTGGAGCCCAGGAACCTGCTTTCTCAGCAAGCTTATGAGATGATTTCCCTTGAATGCCTTCTTGAACTGCATTTTAAGAGCTACTTTTAAAGGACAAAGTCAGAGGTTTGTACTCTGGGCTTTAAAAGGCATAATTGAATATCAAAAATGTGTCCAAGGCTGCATGACTGCATTCTGTGGTATATCAGTTATGCAATTGACTTGCTCCATGGACTAGAATCTGCAAAGAAAATGAGAGGTTAGAACTATAATTGTTCTGTGCTAACAGTTTCAAAGAGGAATATGAGTGATAAATTAGAGGAATTGACAGATCTTTGTAATTTAACCATTAATCATTTTTAAACAACTCTCCACAATGAAATGGTACTTGATAATACAATAAAGAGTGGAAGTAAGAGTCTTTAGAACTAGAGAATCTTTAGAAATCATTCAGTCCAACCCTTTCATTTTAGAGTGAGCTGGTAAGTCATCTGAGGCCACACATTTGATAAGAAGAGAGTTAGGAATATGCAGGTTTTCTGACAGTGCAGTGCCAATTTCCACCCCACTCCTCCACACAAACACTACCACCTTTTAGAAAGTGTATTTTAGTCAACTCAAGCATGCTACTGGAAAGGGATCCGTGGCATGTCTTAATCATTTTGATGTACATCTTGTATTTTGAGGGAGCTTCTTTGTTTCATCTTAGACTAATGTTTAAATTGTTTTGCATTTTTCATGCACATTCAGGGAGATGGCAAATGAATGTCGTGAGAGAAGAAAACCAGCCCACAGTATAGAATATGTAGCATTTCATCCATCTTGCAAATACATATACACAGAAACTTGTGAGTTGGCTGTATTCACTGTAAGGAAGAGTTATTTTCCAGCATCAGTGAAGGGGACCAGACAAGGGCCAAAGGAAGGGAAAAATCAATGGAAACATTCACCTGGTGTCACTTGTCCTAAAACCAGTGAAGAATCTGATTTATTTTAGCAGTTGGTCCTTTTCTGCAGGATCTTGTAGAAAAGAAACAAAATTCTCTAATAATTACCCCCGCTCACTAGCTGATTGAGTACAGTGCCAAAATTAGAAAGAATTTTGTGGATAAAGAAAGGTTCTTTGATGGTCTTGAGAAGGTTTTGCTAATCTATGACTACTGTCTAGTGTGGTATCTGAACATTTTATATAAATGTTGATGAAATGAGCAGAAGTTCGCTAAGAAACCCTTTATCAGCTAAAATATAGTAAATGTGTTTGTATTAGAGTCTAGGCATCTTGGCACAATGTGAGAAATGGGACCAATTGGTATGAATGAGTCTTTGATTAGATGGGCTTGGCTATTTCAATTTCTTGAAACTGCAACTGAAGAGTTTCATTTAAATAATTTTTCTCCATCAGACTGCGGGAGTTGTCCAATAATTGACATTTACTCGTTTGCACAGCCATGAGCCAAGACCCATGGCCTGTCATGTCCCAGCATTCACATCCCTTAAATTTTATCTCTGGTAAGAGTTAACATTTCAGAAGACCAACATTTGTGATCAAAATAAGAATTCAGGAGTCATCTGTGAGTTTGTGTTTTTCTTCTTACTTGATCTTGCATTACAGATCCCCATTTACTTGCTTTTTTAAAGAAGCTATTGAAATGTTATGCAACTAATGAAATCAACCTAGAAGAGGTCAAGCACAAAGGGATTGTCCTGGCTTTGGGCTCATCCTCTCCTGCAGTCTTGGTAGTTGCTTAGTGCCATTGAGGATCATACAACCTGTTTTCCCAAAATTTGTTCCTAAGATTGTTTATAGGTGCTATTCGGCATAAAGGGTTCCATGATTAATTAAAATGGGAAATGCAGATTGAACAGTTTTGTGCTTTTGTTTTTAGTAGTGGACTTCTTAGAGCTGCTATTTTGCTAATGTTTGTAGTGAATCTCTACAGGAGGACTATAACATGTAGTTTTTAACCAGGGAACTATCCGCACCATCTGTCTCCAAATTTACCAGACTAGCATTCTGGGGAACATACCTTGGGAAACTGTAGCCCCCCATAAGCCCATTTGCTTTTATATTGCATTTTAATATCCAAAGCAAAGGGGTAAGATTCTTCTTACCCTCCCTCCTGGCATAGTCTCCACTCTTTTTCCATAACATCTTCCTCAAGTGTTTACATATCAACCTTCCTTTTTAGATTGTTAGCTCCTAGAAGGCAAAAGCTGTCTTATTCATTTTAAATATTTTTTACTTTGTTTAACTAGCTTAATAATGCTCGGTACATATATGTGTTCATTCAATGTTGGATTAATGAATAATAGACACTCCTCACACTTTACATCTGTTTCTTTTCCCCATTAAAACAGCTGCTTTAATGTTCTTTAATTTGATTTGCCTTGTAAGGAAATGTTGGTTGGTGTCTGTAGAATCATAGGAGCACAGCACAGAATGGGTCTTTGGCAAGTCTCATCCAAATGATAGTTTCAGTGCTCCCTTCCCCTTTGTTAGTGGAGACCATCATTTTTTATGTGTGGTTGGTCATACTCTCAAAAGGATTAAGAGTTACATGACATGGTGTAACACAAGATTTGCAAAATGTGAATCAATGTCCCTCCATTTGATCCGCAGCTTCTCATAAGGCAGGATAAACACATCATTTGCTGTGTCTTTTGTCTTTCTGATTATTATTACTTACTATTGGCTTTTAAAAACTCATTGCCAGAATTTGCTTCTAGTTTATCTTTCTCATCTTATCACTTAAAAGATAGAAAGTGTGCGTCACATAGCACTCAGCCCAGGATATAGAGAGTGCTAAAAAGAATCTGAAATGGCCTCTGAAACTAGGCTGTGGTTGGTTGCTTTCTCCATTCTTCTCTAGTCCACTCCTCACACCTTTCTTTTCCTGCCCTCCTAGATTTATTGAGGTATAGTTGACATATAACATTGTACTAGTTTAAGGTGTACAATGTGATGATATATCTATACAGCCATGCGTCACTAATTGGCAGGGCTACATTCTGAGAAATGCATTGTTAGGCGATTTCATCATTGTGCAAACATCGTAAAGTGTACTTACACAAACCTGGATGGTATAGCCTACTATGCACCTAGGCTATATGGTACTAACCTTATGGGACCACAGTCATATATGCAGTTCGTCGTTGACTGAAACATTGTTATGCGGCTCATGACTGTATATTGCAAAATGATTACCACAATAAGATTAGTTAACACACCCATCACTTCACATAGTTACAAATTTTTTGTGTATTGAGAACTTTTAAGATTTACTCTCTTAGTGACTTTCAAATATACAATACTATTAACTATAGTCACCGTGCTGCACATTACATCCCCGGAACTTGTAACTGGAAGTTTGTAACCTTGGACCACCTTCACTCATTTCCTCCCGCCTCCCCTGCAACCCGACCCCTTGCAACCACCAATCTACTCTCTGTTTCTATGAGTTTGGTTTTTTTAGATTCCGCTTATAAATGAGATCACTATGTCTTTCTCTGTCTGACTTATTTCACTTAGCATAATACTCTCAAGGTTTTTCCGTGTTGTTGTAAATGGCAGGATTTCCTTCTTTTCTATGGCTGAATAATATTTCATTGTGGTATATATATATATACCACAATGAAATATTGTGGTTTTTTCCATGTCTTGGTTATTGTAAATAGTGCTGCAATGCACATGGGGGTGCAGATATCTCTTTGAGATAGTGATTTCGTTTCCTTTGGATATGTACCAGGAGTGGACTTGCTGGAAAATATGATAGTTCCACATTAAATTTTTTGAGGAACCTCCATACTGTTTTCCATAGTGACTGTACCAATTTACATTCCCACAGTGCACAAGGGTTCCCTTTTCTCCACATCCTCACTAGCATTTGTTATCACCTGTCTTTTTGATAACAGCCATTCTAACAGGTGTGAGGTGATAGCTCATTGTGGTTTTGATTTGCATTTCCCTGATAATTAGAGATGTTGAGCACCTTTTCATGTACCTGTTGGCTATTTAAATATCTCCTTTGGAAAAATGTCTGTTCAGATCCTCTCCTCGTTTTTTAATTGGATTATTATTATTTTCTCTTGAGTTGTATGAGTTCCTTATATATTTTGGATATTAACCACTTAACAGATATGTGGTTTGCAAATATTTTCTCCCATTCCATAGGTTGTCTTTCATTTTGTTGGTTGTTTCTTTTGCTGTGAAGAAGATTTTAGTTTGATGTAGTTCCACTTGTTTATTTTTGCTTTTGTTGCTTGTGCTTTTGTTGTCAGATCCAAAAATTCACGTCAAAACCAATGTCAAGGAGTTTTTTCCTTATGTTTTCTTCCAGGAGTTTTATGATTTCAGGTCTTATATTTAAGTCTTTAATCCATTTCAAGCTAGTTTTTGTGGATGGTGTAAGATAGGGGTCCAGTTTCATTCTTTTGCATGTGAATATCCAGTTTGCCCAACACCATTTATTGAAGAGACCATCTTTTCCTCATTGAGTATTCTTGGCTCTCTTGTCCAATATTAGTTGACTGTATATACATGGATTTATTTCTGGGGTCTCGATTCTGTTCCATTGGTCTACATGTCTGTTTTTATGCTGGTACCATATTGTTTTGATTACTATAGCTTTGTAATATAGTTTTTTTTTTTTTAGCTTTATTAAGTACTGAAATGTCTTTTTTTGTGTGTGTGAGGAAGATCAGCCCTGAGCTAACATCCATACTAATCCTCCTCTTTTTGCTGAGGAAGACCGGCTCTGAGCTAACATCTATTGCCAATCCTCCTCCTTTTTTTATCCCCCAAAGCCCCAGTAGGTAGTTGTATGTCATAGTTGTACATCCTTCTAGTTGCTGTATGTGAGACGCGGCCTCAGCATGGCCGGAGAAGCATTGTGTTGGTGCGCGCCCAGGATCCGAACCCGGGCCGCCAGTAGCAGAGTGCATGCACTTAACCGCTAAGCCACGGGGCCGGCCCATGTAATATAGTTTGAAATAAGGAAGTGTGATGCTTCTGGGTTTGTTCTTCTTTCTCAGGATTACTTTGGCTATTTGGGGTCTTTTGTGGTTCCATACAAATTTTAGGATTGTTTTTTCCATTTCTGTGAAAAATGCCATTGGAATCTTGCTAGGGATTGCATTGAATATATGGATGGCTTGGGTAGCATGGACATTTTAACAATATTTACTATTCTAATCCATGAACACAGGATATGTTTCCATTTATTTGTGACTTCTTCAATTTCTTTCATCAATGTCTTGTAGTTTTCAGTGTGCAGATCTTTCATCTCCTTGGTTAAATTTGTTCCTAAGTATTTTATTGTTTTTGATGCTATTTTAAATGGGATTATTTTCTTTATTACTTTATCAGGTAGTTTGTTATAAATGTATGGAAACAGAACTGAGTTTTGCATGTTGATTTTGTATCCTGCAACTTTACTGAATTTGTTGATTAGTTCTAACTATGCACCCCTGTTATAATATTAGAAAATCTCATTTTAACTATATATTTACCATTACCAGTGACTTTTACACATTTATATGTTTTTACAATGTTAATTAGAATCCTTTTATTTCAGCTTGAAGAATGTCCTTTAGCATATCTTGTGAGGCAGGTCTAGTGGTGATGAACTCCTTCAGTTTGTTTAGGAAAGTCTTTATCTCTCCTTCATTTCTGAAGGACAGCTTTGCTTGTTGTAGTATTCTTGGTTGACGGGTTTTTTCTTTCAATATTTTGAATATATCCCCCCGTCTCCAGGCCTGCAGGGTTTCTGTTGAGAAATCTGCTGATAATCTTGTGGTGGCTCCCTTGAATGTGACAAGTCACTTTTCTCTTGCTGCTTTCAAAATTCTCTCTTTGTGTTTGACTTTTTATAATTTAATTATAATGTGTATCAGTGTAGTCCTGTCTGACTATTTGGAGTCCTTTGGGCCTCATGAGTCTGGATGCCCATTTCTCTCCCCAATTTGGGGAAGTTTTCAGCTGTTATTGCTTTAAATAGACTTTCTGTCTCATTCTCTTTCTCTTCTCCTTCTGGAATTCCCATAGTGTATATATTGTTTCTCTTGGTGAATGTTACCAACTGCCATAGGCTTTCTTCACTTTTTTTTCAGTCTTTTTTCTTTTCGCTCCTCTGACTGGATAATTTCAAGTGACCTATCTTCTAGTTCACTGATTCTTTCCTCTTCCTGGTTGAGTCTGCTGTTGAGGCTCTCTGTTAAATTCTTCAGTGCAGTCACTGCACTAAGTTGGGCCTTGAAATGATATTGAGCAAGTTCTTCAGGCAGCAAAATATAATTTGATGCCATGAGGGAAGAGATGAGTAACTTTTAAATGGGGAAGGAGTAAAATGATTCTGGGCTTTAGTTGGCAAACATATCTGTAAAAGGCCAGATATTAAATATTTTAGGCATTGTGGGCCATATGGTATCAGTTGCAACTACTCGGTTCTGCTGTTGTAACAGGAAAGCAGCCATAGATGATTTGTAAATGAATGGGAGTGGCTGTTTTCAATAAAACTTTATTTATAAAAACAAGTGGTGGGCCATCGTTTGGAGACCCCCATGTTAGAGGAACAAAACTTTATGGGAGAAGATTATAAGCCTGGTATGTTTTATCAGTAGGAAACGTGAATGCAAGGTTCACACTTGGCACATGGTAATTGCTTGATAATTATTTAACAACCCAGATCCATGAGCCTATAGTTCTGCTGATTTGAACAAATATAACTAGACTTGAATTGCATTATAAAAAAAGATGTTAGGTGTCAAAAAGGTACTTTTTAAACTAGGTTGCTTGTTAGATCTTGTCAGAGGAGTTTATGGGCCTTGGAAGTCTTTACCAATAGGGGAGCTGTGTGATGTGGGTTAAGCTCAGTCCTGTTTGAAGACACTGGATTGATGGCATTTTAAGATATACTTCTAGGACATAAAGGGAGAGAGATTTAAGAGCTACAAAGCAGCAATCAGTAAGTCATAGTGATTAATTGAATGCAGTGGTGAGGAAGAAAAGGTTAAGAATGGCCTCAAAGTTTGGAACTAGGATGATCAAAAGAAGAATAATATCACCATCAACACAGAGATGCCATGGCTGAGCTCCAGTGTCACAAGAAGACACGGATTGGATTTTGTACATTATTAAAGATAGAGTGCACTCAAGTTCTTCATCCCTTCTGTTTACTTGCCCTGTGTTTCTTTCACTTTAGTCTTCCTCTTTTCCCTACAGTATCAGATTATACCTGTGCCACTAGGGAAAATTTATAGTTGAGTCATTCAACCAAGTCAACAATATTTATTGGGTACCCAGGCATTGTTGGGGGCACTGCATCCAAACTTGCCTATTACTTTGCTTATCTCTTTGCATGTTTAGGCGTGCAGAGTTGGTGAATTTTAAATTCTCTAGAATAGATCCTTCCTCCTGTGTTTTATTTGATAACTAACCCTCCCAATTAGTCTGTCTGGTCACATCTAAAGCCCAAGCCAAGACTTCTGTTGTGAACCAAACTCCCATTTTTTTCTGTGATTGCCTAAGAAAGAAGAATCTGAGCAGAGCTTTAGAAAACTTCTCTGTGCTATGAGGTTCTAGCATTCAAAATAGAGATTCTCAAGTTCATAGGCAAGGAAAATGTCAAGGTCAATGAAAATGCCTGCTACAGTGACATCTGCATACAGATAATTTACTACTATCCAGAGCAAAGCCAAACCTGAGCCTTAGGAGTTGGCAAAAGTTTAGCCAATGGTCTCCTGAGAGGATTCTGGGAAATAAGGTTCTGGCATTCCACTCTCTTTTAATATTTGATGTAAGTTCCCTGTCAGATCATAGGCAAACACAGCTCTTATTGATTGGTAGTAGTCTGCTATGGGCAGAGAAATTTAACATGGACTCTGGGAAGGAGAACATTTTAGGGCAAAGTTACAGGTGCATGGGTAATTTGAAGAAAGTAAGTTAGATGGATGAGGGAAAGTTTCAAGATTAGCTCATTAGAAGAGGCAGAAGAGGTACTGGGAGTGGGCAGGGAGAGGAGGTAGAAGCAAAGGGTGACTGTGAGGCTCGCATGACAGCAGGAGGTCAGAAAAAAGTGCCCTGTTATTGCCCCAATGTCTCTGGTGTGCTCCTAATCACGATAGGCAGACAGAGGGTGAGTTGTATTGTGTTCTATGGCCATTGACCTCACTCTAAAGGTGGTCTCTGAAAATGGTGCTTAGAGGTCTCAAGAAATACCCCTCCTCTACAAAGTCCAAAGCAAAGCACTTTCTTTATTCTTTTAAATAATGTTAACTCTGGCTGTTTACCACTGAAGGCTCTGTAGAAACAATGAGAATTCCTTAATCAAAGTATGATAAAACTCCCCCAGACACAATGCCAAAAAGCTTGGAAGAAGAACTGTTGTTACCTGAAATTCCTTTCAAGTTAGCTTTGAGTGGATCAAAAAGATCAGTGACTCCCCAAGAATTTAAAATGCTTTTTAAGTTGAAATGATTTTGGATCCTAAATCTAAAAGACAAAAACAAACCATCAACTTTCATTTAAAATTGTCACTCAATATACTTTCATACATACCACATGCCGTCCAAACTCCCTCACTTGGAAGTCAGGGATCTCCAGGCTCATTTCCAGCTTTATCTTCCATTGCGCCTTCCCATAAACCCTACCCACTGACTCATTTGACCACACAAGGCTCTCTCCCACCTCTGTACCTTTGCTCCTGCTGTTCTTTCCAGGTCTCCCCCATCTCCCTTGATTGCCTTTGAATTATTATCCTTTCCTCTAAGCCCAATTCAATTTTTATCTCCTCCTCTTATCTCCAGCTCTTTTGTGACCTTTGGTTCTTAAAGCCCCATTAACACTTTGTTCTACTCTTTTGATGTATAGAACATTCTTCTTCCTATTACTGTTATTTATGAGGTTGAAACTTCTTGAGAAGAGAGGCTATCCTGGTCAATTTTTTATTGCTTAATAATAATGAATATTTACTGAGTGCTTACCATAAGGCACTCTGATAAGTATTTTATGTGGATTATTTCATTTCATGTTCACATAACTGTTATTATTAATCTCATGTTTTACAGATGAGAAAACTGAGGCTTAAAGAGTTTAAGAAACTTGCCCAAGATGACATAATGAGTGCGTGGTGGAGCTCAACTCAAATCGAGGCTGAGTGCAGAGCCTTCGCTCTTGTTGTCTACACTATGCTACCTCCCATCTCGTGTGGCATCTCACACATAGTAGGTGCAGAAAAGAAGCTGTTGACTAACTAACAATTAATAGACAGTCTCATTTGATAAGACTTATTTTCATGACTGCTGTGTGCAGTGTGTGCCTTTGACGCCCAGCAGGGGAAAAACGCAGGTGAAAACTTTGGTTTTCCTAGTAAGTCCAGAGGGCAGGAAGAATCAGCACACCAACTTTGTAATATTTCCCCAAGGGCAAGGTATTTAAATTTTACTGTGGAAGCATCCTTTAAAAGGACTACTGACATTATTTTTCTTTGAAAATAAAGAAGTTCAAAGTGGAATTTAGGTGGTCTTTTTCTATAAACCATGCAAAACTTGTAGGAGAGTAAAAATACTGGACAAAACCATTTAATATCAAAGGTCTCTGTTGCTGTACAAGACAATGTGACCAATATTTTAACCAAAAGTATCCGATTTTCTCCTAAATGTATGTTGTAGATCTTCAGAATAGTTTCAAAAAAAGGTATGTGCTTTCTCCAAGTATTCTGACATTTCTCAAAAAATTTTGGACTACCTCTTCTGAAATGATCTTAAATACCTAAAACACATATTATGAAAACTCTTTTTTTTTGTTTTGTTTTTTGTTTTTTGTGAGGAAGATCAGCCCTAAGCTAACATCCATGCCAATCCTCCTCTTTTTGCTGAGGAAGACTGGCCCTGGGCTAACATCTGTGCCCATCTTCCTCCACTTTATATGGGAGGCAGCCACAGCATGGCCTGACAAGTGGTGCATCGGTGTGTGCCCGGGATCCAAACCTGGGCTGCCAGCAGCAGAGTGCAAGCACTTAACTGCTATGCCATGGGGCCAGCCCCTGAAAACTCTTAATGCTGAAACATAGTGGTGAAGAGTGTGAACTTGGGAATCCAGTGCCGGGGTTTGAATCCTGGCCCAGCCTCTTCCTAGCTGAGGGATGTGGGGCAAGTTACTTTACCTCTCTTTGCCTCAGTTTCTTCATTTGTAAAATGAGCATAATAGTAGTGCTTGGTTCTTAGTGTTGTGAAGATTAAGTAAAATAATCCTTGTAAATTGCTCAAAACAATGCCCAGCATAGCTCATGCACTTTATTGTTACCATTGTGGTTTTATTGTTTCTCAATGATATTGAGAAAGAGCTAAGGGATGTTTGAAGCCAAGTATGGTGATTATGGTGAGGGATAAAATAGGGTAGTATCATTTTTAGTAAATTAAAAACAGTAGTAAAAGTGGGGTGTGACTATAAAAGATGAGAGTGATTTTTTTGGTATGGCAACGAAGGCCAGACCAGAAGAAATGCTACTAAAATATCTTGAGTAAAAAAAGCACCCTTTACCAAAACCAGACAAAGATATTAAAAAAGGAAAACTACAGATCAATATCTCTTATGAATATAGATGCAAAAATCCTCACAAAATACTAGAAAATTGAATCCAGCAACAAATAAATCCCACCATGACCAAGCAAGATTTATCCCAGGAATGCAAGGTGGGTGCAACACGTGAAAATCAATCAATGTAAAACACCATACAAATAGAATAAAGGACAAAGGCCACATGATCATCTCAATAGATGCAGAAAGAGCGTTTGACAAAATTTGATACCCTTTCATAAAAACAAAACAAAACCACTCAACAAACTTAGGATAGAAAGGATCTTCTTCAACCTGAAAAAAGGCAACTACAAAAACCCACAGCTAGCATGATGCTGTGCAAGACTGAATGCTCTCCCCCTAAGATCAGGAACAAGACAAGGATGTCCACCACTTTTATTTAACATTGTACTGAAGGATGTGCAGGGCAATTATGCAGGAGAAAGAAATAAAATGCATCCAGATTAGAAAAGAAGAAGTAAGTCTATCTCTATTCATAGATGATTTGGTTTTTTTTTTGTGAGGAATATCAGCCCTGAGCTAACATCCGTGCTAATCCTCCTCTTTTTGCTGAGAAAGACCAGCTCTGAGCTAACATCTATTGCCAATCCTCCTCCTTTTTTTCCCCAAAGTCCCAGTAGATAGTTGTATGTCATAGTTGCACATCCTTCTAGTTGCTGTACGTGGGACGTGGCCTCAGCATGGCCGGAGAAGCAGTGTGTCGGTGTGCCCCTGGGATCCGAACCCGGGCCACCAGTAGCAGAGTGCACGCACTTAACCGCTAAGCCATGGGGCCGGCCCTGATTTGGTTTTGTAAATAGAAAATGCTAAGGAATCTAGACACACACACACAAAGTCTTAGAGCTAATAAATGAGTTCGTGGAGGTGGCAAGATACAAGATCAAGATACAAAAATCATCTGTGTTTCTTTATACTAGCAATGAACAATATGAAAATAAAATCCCATCTACAATAGTATCAGAAGGAATAAAATATTTAGAAATACTTAGAAATAAATTTAACAAAAGAAATGTAAAACTTGTACACTGAAAACTACAAAACATCATTGAAAGAAACTAAAGAAAACCTAAATAAAATGAAAGATATCTCGTGTTTGTGGATTGGAACACTTAATATTGTTAGAAAGAAACATTCCCCAAATTAATCTACAGATTCGGCACGATCCTTATCAAAATCCCAGCTGCCTTTTTGGCAAAAACTGAGAAGCTGATCCTAAAATTCACATGGAAATGCATGGGACCCAGAATACCCAAAACAATCTTGAAAAAGAACGAAGTTGAAAGACTCACACTTCCTGATTTCTAAACAAACTAAAAAGTACAGTAATCAAAACTGTGTCATACTGGGAAAAGTATAGACATTTATGCCTATAGAATGGAAGTGAAAGTCCAGAAATAAACCCATACATTTATGGTCAATTGATTTAGACAAGGGTGCCAAGAAAATTCAATGGGAGAAAGAATAGTCTCTTCAATAAATGGTGCTGAAACAACTGAATAGCCACATGCAAAGAATGAAGTTGAACCTCTACCTCACACCATATACCAAAACTAATTCAAAATGGATCAAAGACCTAAATATAAGAGCTAAAACTATAAAACTCTTAGAAGAAACGTAGATGTAGATCTTTGTGACCTTGGTTAAGCAATGGTTTCTTAGATATGACCTCAAATAAAAAAAAAAAGTACAAGAAACAAAAGAAAAAAAGATTAATTGAATTTCATCAAAATTAAAAATGTTTGTGCTTCAAAGGACACTGTTAAGAAAATGAAAAGACAACCCACAAAATGGGAGAAAATATTGACAAATCATATGCCTGATAAATGACTAGTATCCAGAATATATAAAGAACTATTACAACTCAACAATAAAAAGACAACTAATTTAAAAATGGACAAAGAATTCAAGTAGATATTTCTCCAAAAAAAGATAGATAAATGGCCAAGAAGCACATGCAAAGATGCTTGACATCATTAGTCTTTAGGGAAATGTAAATGAAAGTCACAATGAGATACCGCTTTGCACTGCCTATAATGGCTATAATCAAAAGGATGGGGGCTTTCTCCTACAGTTGTTGTTACACATAAATGTGAGGTCAGACAGGCTGCAGCCATCTTGCCTCCAGCCAGGGAAGGAAGTCAAAGCAGAGAAGAGGACATTGCTGGGGGGGCAGAGAAGGTGAATGCATTCTAACTAATATAACTAAGAATAACTATATAGTTCCTGAATGCGAACTTTGTAACATCCCTACTTTTTAATCCATATTTTGGGAAGGCAGTCTTTATCCTCTCCCAACCTCCCTTCCTCCATGAAGAGGGGCTTTTTTAAAAAACTGTGGTAAAATGTACACAACATAAAATTTACCATTTTAACCACGTTAAGTGTATAATTCAGTGGCATTAAGTACATTCACATTGTTGTCCAACCATCAGCATTATCCACTCCAGAACTTTTTCATCATCCCAAACTGAAACTCTGTACCCATTAAACATGAGGAGGAACTTAAAAAAAAAAAAAAAAAGACAATAGCAAGTGTTGATGAGGATATGGAGAAATTGGAACTCTCATACATTTCTAGTGGGAATGTGAAATGGTGCAGCCACTTGGAAAACTGTGTGGTAGTTCCTCAAAATATAAAATATAGAGTTAACACATGACCCAATAATTCTATTCCTAGGTATATATCCAAGATAATTGAAAATATATATCCACACAAAAATGTGCATGTAAATGTTTGTGGTAGCCAAAAAGTGGAAACAAGCCAAAAAGTGTTTTGGCACCTAAATGTAGTAAATGCACCTAACGGAATATTATTCAGCCATAGGAAGTAATGACATGTGCTATGACAAGGATGAACCTTGAAAATATTATGCTAAGTGAAAGAAGTCAGACACAAAAGGCCATATATTGTATGATTTAATTTATATGAAATGTCCATAATAGACAAATCCATAGAGAGAGAATAAGTGGTTGTCTAGGGCTGGGAGGGGGAATGCCAGTGACTGCTGATGGGTATGGAGTTTATTTTTGAGATGATGAAAATGTTCTGGAATTAGATAGGATGATGTTTGTACAACTTTGCAAATATAATAAAAACCTCTGAATTGTACACTTTAAAAGAATGGATTTATGGTATGTATATTATATCTCAATTTCAAAAAAAAGGAAAGAAAATACCCTTAGAAAAGCATAAATCACACACGATGATGATCAGCAGCTCCTTGAAGGAACGGCAAAACTCATTTTGGATATATGAGACCTGGTGGACTTTAAAAATATATCTAATCACTTCTGATATTAGAAAAAAATGCTCATGCTTTGCTTCCTACTGTGTTGACCTAAAAACTGTTTTATTCATTAAACAAGTATATATTTGACATTATTAGTCTTTCTTGTAGGGCATTACATCATTACAGATATAAATGACCCCTGTTACCACTCATTGTTGATTTTCTTGATTATTCTTTTGGGATGCTAATGTCCGTAATGAAGACTAATAGTCCTTATACATTTTATTTTATTTCTTTGTAAATAAATAAAAGTTTACTTTGGAAGCTAGATGTCATAATTCATCCAGAATTTACTTGCTTGGTGATGTTTTGCCACACAATTTTTGCATTGCTACCCATGGTATGCAAAGTTTTTGCTCTTGCTAAATGAAAAATGCAAGCTGACTACAGAACAGGTCATACTAAATGGTGAATGAATGATTTGAGGAACTAGAGGTAAGTTCTTACCCAAAAGCTGACTTGTGTCTACTATGGTCCAAAGTTTTGTACCCAAATCTAGACCTAAAATAGTTTTTACTTCTTTCTCTATTTATTCCCTAAAGGGTTTAAAGCTAGTTTTTCATTTTTGTTTTTTTGCTTGGTTAGTTTGGCTTGTGAAATAACCCTATTTCCCTGAACACTTCTTTCCTTGGAGAGCAGGTTTAATAGTCTTAGGGAGATAAAAAAAATTTATCAGGATGAGGTCAAGTGTTAACTAATACCTAGCTTACTATCATCTCTGCCTTCCCGTCCCTTCCCTGTTCTCCAATGTTTTTCAGGATCATTCCTCAGGGGGTTGTGAGTTCTAAAGGCAGAAGCAGAGACCATGGAGGGTTCTCAGTGGAGCAGGCACCTCCCTGGGGCCTCTGCCTCACATCGGCTGCTCCAGGAGGAGGCCAGCATCTGTCTCCTAAACCCAAAAAGACTGTGGCAAATTCCTGCACCAGGTTGCATTTTCTCTCTACTTTTAACATTGAAAGCTCCTCTTCCTTCTCTGAGCTTCTTTCAAATGTAACAGAAAGATTAGGGTTACTTCTCCTCTTTGCTAGAGAGATCTGTTGAAATATCCAGTCTTGGTGCTTTGATTTGGGGTCCAAATATTTGGTTTGGAGAGATAGGCTTTATCTTAGAGTTAAGTTCGCTTTCTGCCCTTGCTATGCCAGATCCCGCTTTAGACCTTGGCCCTTAACTCCCTGGGGCTCTCTTTGTGTGTTTTTATTACAGTGCCTGAACTTATTTTTAACTCCTTGACAGGAGCATTGCCAAGGCCTCTGGCTCAGCACTGCTGAGAGCCTGGTGGGTGGAGAAGGCCACGGTGGCCAGAAGGGAAGAGAAGGAAGAAGCAGCATGCTGAAAATGAGCGCTTGGACAACATTCCTAGCTCAGTGTTGGTCTACAAATTAATTATAAATTTACTCTGATTTCAAATGTACCAAAAAGCTTAGCATTTAAGGAAGTTCAATGAGGAATCTTTTTGTAGTGTAATGAGTTTTGCAAATAGGTTTTCCTTTGGAAAAACAAAATCTAGCATCATCATTTAACTTTTTGGCAATTTGTATTTGTACCTATTGGGTTTTCTTAAAGAAGGACTTACCTCTGTTTAGAAATAATGAGACCTTTCAGCACAGAGACTTAAAGTCTTCAATTCTTATGCCTTAATTCTGTTCAGAATTATATCTGTATTTGCTCAATTATATTAGCTATCTTGCCTCTTTGGTTCTTGAAAAATGACAGTTGTATACTCTGAGGATGTAATAAGACTCAGGGAACATTCCTCCAAAGGAACTGACTGCTCTTCTTTCCCTGCCCAGAGAACTGGCCGTGGCGTGATGCTGGAGTGGAGGTCTGGGGGCTCCGGTCTGGCCCAGTGAAGACAGGATGTCTCCTCTTGAGATAGACCCCAGGAAATTAGCTCCTTTCAGTCTGTGTCATGAGCTAGTCAGCAGTGACTCTGAAATGGACCTGAACTCTAGGCTAACTCCGCCTTGGCCTAACCTCTAGGGATGCCTTAGACAAGTCAGCCCGGTGGTCACAAACAGACCCGCATCAGACTGCCTGGGTTCTAATCCAGGCCCGGTCGGCTGGGTTAGGCTGCAGGGCACCCCACAAGGAGGACACAGCTACTCACCTGGGCAGGAACACATCCATCCTGGCTCTCCTCAGGCTGGAGGTCCAGAGGTGGATGATGCTGGCTGTGAGGTGTGGCTCAATGCGGGCCAGTGGGGTACCTTTGTCACGAGGCAGCACCAGGAGCAGACTCGCTGCACTTCCCAGGTAGGGCAGCTCCAGCACCCCCACCTGATGGCCCGCAGGGTCCTGGAACTGGCCTGGGGGTTCAGTGGTTGGAGGATTAGTTCTGTCCCAGGAGCCAGGGGAACCAAACAGTGCCAGGCCCTGGGATGGGCCTGCTCACAGAACTGGAAACGATGCACTTTGTTAACAAGGTGTCCACCTCACCCTCAGGAAGCAGTTTGAGGCCAAGACTGTTGGGTGCTCTGGTCATCTTTTCTGATCCTAAGACCTAGAATCTCTAAGATACCCTCACAGGGCTCAGGGCCTGTTGTGGCTGGGCACAGTGGGTACAATGGCACGTGGGAGAACCATACACCCTGTCTTAAAGGGCCAGTCACTCCAATCCTGTCTTACTGTGGTCATGTGGGGACCCAGGCTCTTTGTGCTAGATCTTCCTATCTTTCCACGAAAGCTCTAAACCCAGATGTCATATGAAATTTCCCAATTTTTAAAACACTGCATAGTCCTGACAAAACAGGAGTCCAGGCTGGATTTGATCTGGGGACTGATGATTTGTAACCTGTGACCTAAACAACTAGGTCTCAGGATGGGCAGCTGGGAGCTTGTGGGCAGTGGCAATGGCTGGCCAAGAACAAGTCTAGCCCATTGGGCAGAGCATGATTTCAGAAGCAGCAGACACAGATGGCCAGAGACAGGGAGCCCCAGCGAGGCTTGCTGGTGAATGCAGAGGCAGTGGCGCCACCCAGTGATGGGGAAGGAGGGTAAGGAATATGGAGCAATCCAGGGGTGCCGGGGAGACCTGGCAGCCCCAGCCTCAGGCGGAGCTCCAGGCGGATCCCTTCCTGGGGAGGACGGTGAGGCCTGGGCCCTAGTGTTGTGGGGCAGCAGAGCTGGCTGGCCACTAAGGCAAAATCTTAGGCTCAATGGGGAAAGACGGGTGCCTGCTTCATACTCCTTACTTTATCTGTTCAATAAATAGTTGTTCAGCGTCCATTATGTGCCAGCCCTGTGCACTGCATGCTGGGTGTCAAGGGAAGAACAAGAGTGTCGTGGAGCCTGCCTGCGATAGCGCAGCTGACAGTCAGGTCAACCAGCACGGGTCACGGAGGCAACAGGAAAGTGTTAGGAACAAGAACTGTAATACATCTTAAAGGGATGTTTACTTATCCAGTAGATGTTCTTCTGTTCTCGTCTTGCTTGACCTCAATTAATAATTATTGGTTGAATAAACAAATGAATAAATTCACTGAGCACTCACTATGTGTCCTGCATGGAATCAGAGCAGGATGACTAGCAAGTTTTCCAAATGCCAAAGTTCCTAAAACACTGATTTCAGTCTCACTGGCTTTTCCCTGAAGAGGAACATAGTTAGTCCCACAGCTGGAGGGGGCTGAGCCTGCAAATGAGGGTTGCCAGGTGTGACCGGAGAGAAGGTGTATATGGGCAGGCTGGCAGGGTCCCTTCCTCCCTTGCCATGCTGGCGTCCCACTGAAGCATCCACATCACACACCGGTCTGCTGAGATGGGGCTGCCAGGCATTGTGCACCCCCACTCTGACCGGGGTGAGTGACCATTAGGCAGGGTGGGCAGGAAGAATGACAGTATTTTAGGACCAGTGGCACTTTCAGTGTGGGCATGCTCTTGAGAGCCTTTTAGACTGGACGCTCAATCTTCCATCTGTTCTCAGCATCAAGCAGTGAAGCGAGTCTTCATTTTATGGTGGTGCCTGCCAAGGGAGGGGTTTGGCCCAAACATTTTTGGTTTTACACAGACTCCTCCATCTACTAAGTGCAGAGGGAAATGTGAAGCATGAAACTGGGTTTCTCTTCCCCATCTGGCTTCTTACTGTCTTCTCTGAGTCTCCTGGCTCACTGGTCTTGCCTTACTCCACACCCAGCAGACAGCAGAGGGGACCACAGAGAAACTCAGCCCGATCCTTTAAGAGCAGAGACCTGGCCTCCTCTCCTGCCCACACTCCTCTCACCCTCGTGTTCCTTTCATTAGACAGCCCGGCCATGGGGAAGGAGCTCACCGTAGTTGACCTCGGCCATTTGGTACATCATGGGGACCTGGAGGATGAGGCCCTGGGCACAGGTGAAAGGCAGGAGCTGAGTGTCCATGGAGGAGAATCTCTGTCGCCAAGTGCTTTGGAAGGACATGGTGCTCACAAGCGCCAGCTGAGCAAGTGCTGTGTCGCTGCGCTCCCATGTCAAGCCACCTGGGCCCTCACCTGCAAGGGGGAGAGCGACCGTGTTGCTGACACCCGTGCACACTCTGGGGGGTGCTGAGGCATCCCTGAAGTGGGGTTTGTAGCCTGCTTGTTAGTGTCTATTAGTTGTGGAATTGTAGTGTTTATAACTAGCTGTTGCTGAAGACCATGCTTTTGTTCTTTTCTGAACAGGTTGGGATGCTCCGGCTGGTTCCGGCTGGGGCCGTTGTCCAGGAGGCATTAGGGAGCACTGCTCAGGCAGACCCCTGGGAGGGCCTAGGTGCTGTGATAGGAGATGCTGCACAATGTCGCCGCCTCACCCCATCGCCCCAACAGCAGAGCTTCATTCCTGGCAGAGCCTCTGCTTAGACAACTCTCAGGGCGTGGTCATTATGATCCCACCAGTTACCAGAGAGAGGAGCAGGCTGATCGCCCCTCAAGGGGCAGTTTTTGCCCCAGCCCTTTATTTATTTGATAAACACATGCTTTGTGCTAGGCTCTGTTTAAATGCTTTAACAAACCCTCACTGACTCCTCCCAACAGTTCTTTTGTTGTCCCCAGTTCTACAGATGGGGGCACGAAGGCTCAGAGAGGTTGTCCAAGGTCACGCACTTGTGAGTGGCAAAGCCACTATCAGCCCAGTTGCCCAAGACAGAAACCTTGGATTTGGACCCACGCAGCCTGGCCCTGGACTCCAGGCTCTTCACGGCCGCACCAATTGCCTCTCTTTCTTAGAGGACAATCCACCCTGGGGATTGAGAGCAGCTACTGTGGCCTTGGGCCCCTGGCAGCACAACGAGCTGAGATGGGGAATTAAACATTTTTAAATAAATTGAAAAGATATTGTGAAAGAGAGAAAGAGGAGGGTAGCTTCTCATCAATAGAAATCTTTGTGTTTGCATTTTAACTCTGCCCTCCTCATCCATGCATATATTGTTCTCAGTTCAGTCTTAAAGTGCACATCACCTTCTAGTCTGCGTTTTAAACAACAGTGGGTTTTGAATGTTCACCCTATTTCTGGTAACCTCTGTAATTATCAAAGGTGCTGGAACTAGACTACCTGGGTTAGAATCCTGGCTCTGTGGGACCTGGATGGGAGACCCAACACTCTGTGCCTCAGTTTCTCCATTTGTAAAATGGGGGCCATAGGGCCGGCTCTGTGGCTTAGCGGTTAAGTGCGCGCGCTCTGATGCTGGCGGCCCGGGTTCGGATCCCGGGCGCGCCCCGAGGCACCACTTCTCCGTCCAACGCGAGGCCGAGTCTCACGTACAGCAACTAGAAGGATGTGAACCTATGACATACAACTATCTACTGCGGCTTTGGGGGGAAAAAAATGAATAAATAAAATCTTTAAAATGGGGGCCATAATAGCACTTCCCTCCTAGGATGACTGTGAGGGTGAACTGAGATAATAAACATGGAGGACTTAGAAGAGTGCTAAATAAATAAACTGAGCACTCAGTAAGTGTTAGTAATTTTCATCATCTTTAATAATAATTATAGCTGCATGATATGCAGGTGCTATAATTCACTGAATCATCCCTACTTGCTGGACAGTTAGGTTGTTTGTAAGTCTTTTTCTTTGATAACACTGGGCTGAGCATCTTATCACATATAACTTTTTCTTCTCTTGAATTATTTCCTTAAGCTAAATTCCCAAGAAACCACTTTTTTGGCTCCTACTGCATTTTGCTATCACAGGGGGTTAATTGTAGATGAGAGCAGGGCTCAGGGGGACTCACTGGGGGACAGCTGCATGGGACAAAGCCTGCAGGGCTCCCTGGAGGTGGGAGGCTCTGAAGAGCCCCTTCGGTTTGTGTGTATGTAAGGGAGAGAGAGGTAGTAGGGGGCCAAAAGTCAGCTTTGCTTGCTTCATAGAGGACATCATTCAATGTAGGGTCCCCCAAGAGGACAAACTTCTGCTGCAATTGAGAGTGGCCTGAGTACCCATCCTCATGGCTTCTAACAAGTAATGAGTGGAATCTTTCCTTAGAGCCCTCTGACATTAGCCTCATTGAGGCGGACGGTTTTCTTTTACCTGTGGTCTGCCTGGAGGCCCCTTCATTGTCCTGGATGGTGCTGATGGGCTTGCTGAGGTTGGCTGGCTCCAGGCTGCTGTTGGCCCATCGGGAGACCTGCTCCACAAAGCAGGGGGAGAGCGGTGTTCCCACCTGCACAAAAAGGGTGCAGGCCAGCTCCATCTTGGTGCCTTGGCTGGAGTTGGGTAGTGTGGCATAAACGGCTTGCAGGAAGTCTTTTACCCTTTGGTCTGTGAAAAAGGTGTTGGGATAAATTGACACTGGTGAGTATGAGTAAGGAGTTAGCACAACTCCATTTGCACAGTGCCTTGAAATGGGGCCCCAGCACCTCCACTCTTGTTTAATAGGGTTCACCCACCATGTACAGTCAATCTGGGAATGTCATAGCTAAATCGCTCAGGAATTAGCCTGGACCTGCAGATAAGAAGTTAGGGAAAAAAACCCACGCTAGATCTGGAAGAAATCAGGCTGTGATTAAGTCAAATAGAAAAGCACTATGAACATTCCAGAGGCTAGTCTTTCCTAACTTTTGGAGTCAGAGATGTTGACTGGTGCTAGAATAGAGAGAGCTGGGAAAACCACAGGTCTCATGTGCAGAGTGATGGGGCTTCAGATATTCACAAAGTCAATCGATTTTGGGCAACCTCACAAGTAACAATGATGGATGGTGGCCGGGGTGTTGAATTGTCAGTATATCTTGTGCAGGGCCTTCAATCCGTCCCCATGACTGCATGTCATAAGCCTGAGTGACATTCAGATGCAGCCTCTTTTAGAACTATGCCTTCAATTTGAGAAACACAGAGGACAGGTAAGAACGCCTCCCATTCCCCATCTCCCTAAGACCTAGCAGACAGCTCAGGTTATTAATGTCAACAAGAACCTGCAAGAATGTTGAGGAAATAATAAGCAATTGAGAGAGTCAATAGTTTCCCCCTTCTTGGTTGGCAGCTAGACTTCTATTTATTTACTGCTTACACAGGAGATTGCTTCCTTTTCTCCATAATCAGTAGTGGATTTCTTTCTTACTCTGTTATTCAGAAGCTGCGGCTCTTATCCTCCTCTAGGCATCTGTAGCTGCAGTGAGGCCTCTCGCACACTAGCAAGTCAGGACACAGCTGAGTATCCCCAGCTTCCCACTCCTGACACCTGCAAGCTGGGCTATTCCAGCGGTCAGGTGCCCTTCCTGTGCAGGCTGCTGTGGAACGTGGCCTTCCCCTTGTCCTCCTTGCCTCTCCTTCCTCTTGGGCACATCCCCATGGCTCTCCACAAATCTCCCCTGTGAGACACATGCTTTGTGCCCTCTGCCTGCACCACCCTGCCCCATCCAGCTCTTCCAGGGCACCTGTTGAGATGACTCTCTCACTTGGTTGGGGTCCATCCACTCTGACACCCTTCATGTCGCAGAGGCCAGGCCAGGAGGCAGCAGCAGACCTCTGACTTCCCCAGCCAAAGTCCTCTGGGGTGGGTGCGTGGGGCACGGGCACCCAGAATACTCCCCAGCCAGGGCCCCCAGCCACCAGGCTGCAGACCATAGTTGCAGACAGATTTCACTTGACCACAAAACTTTCGCTACCAAAGCTGCTGCTTAGAATCTGCAACTGTACAAAAGGGACTCAGAATATATAGCTCATGAATTACAGCCTAACTTGAGCGCTTGCCTTTTATTTTAACGAGAAAAGAAATACATGAAAAAAATACTTATGATCAGATTTTCCTCTACTGAGGAAAGTTGTATGTGTTTATAGAACCATGTGCCTGTAGAATGTTGACTGTCTGCAGGGGCGAAGTGAGACATTTCTCTGGTCCACAGTGTAGTGTGACCTTAGAGTATTGTCAGAGAGCTCTCCCCTCTGTCCTGTCACACGATCTGGGACCAGTATTCCTTCAGCCAGACACACACATTAAAATAACAAAGTAAATTGGCTTGAGAAATCTTTTCTCCACCAGAGAAATGTCCCTGCCCATTTGCACACAGGAAGAGCTGTTCTAGGCGCTGCTGGAATATACATCACCAGCATTAAAATACTGAAGGTTGATGGTGTTCATAGACTCTGTGCTAAACACTCTATATTCATGATCACATTTAATTCTTTCAGCAACCATGTGAGTTAAGTGCTATTATGATCCCCATTTCTAGATGAGGGAGCTGGGGCTCAGACAAATTAATAAACTTGTTCAGTGCCATGGGGTTGTGGGAGGTGGTGCTTCATTGCCCTCCCGCCCACAGGTGAAGGACAGGCGGGCTGGGAGCACTCTGCTCGGGAAAGCCTTTTCCTCTTGGAGCACAAAGCCTGCTGTTCTGCCGTATGTCATGTTACGAGTTTCCTAGGTCCCTGTTCGTGATGGGGCAAAAGGGACGGATGTGAGTGATGACAAACTGGCCTCCCCCACAGCCCATGAAAGAGCATCCTGTCACTGCTGGCTTAATTCCTCTCCGCCTCCCCTTCCTAGGAAGCCGTCTTTCTTGCAGGAGAGGGGCTAGGTGGCTCTAATAGAATGCTGAGCAGGGAAGGAGGACAGAAGGAAGGAAAACCATGGGGGCAGCAGGAGATCAGAGCATAGTGGGGGAGGCGTGTAGGGTTTGAGGAGAGGGTCCCTGGATGGGTGGAGAGTGGGAGGAAAGTGCTAGAAGGAGAAATGGTGTTTTCATAAGTTGTGCTGCAGACAGACCAGCCCTTTAACTCATTTGCAAGACCAGCGTGAAGAGCACTTTCCTTTTTAATGCATTTGCTGAACTGAACTTCTTGACTGTGACGCTGAATCTGGCGGGTCCTGACTTTGCAAGGTTAATATATAAAAAATCCTCAAACTACGAGAAACATCTTTGTGACCCTGATGTTTTAATTGCCAGAGAATTAAAAGAGGGTTAAGTTTAGGATGATGTCCAAAAGGTTTGATTGTGCTGAGACAGTAATGAGAACGTCCCTGGTGAAAAATACAGAAGGCAAGGTCCTTGTGTATTTGTGCAACTACTCAGTGGCTTAGAGTGGAGCTAAGGAATTGTGAAAGAACATGGGATTTGGAGTCAGAAAATCTGGAACTCGAATCCTGGCTCCACTACTTGCCTGTTGGGTGAGCTGAGTCTTGCCAAAGTGTTACCCTCTTGTCTCATTTGTAAAATGGGGGTTATTAATAGAGGCCTAGCAATTGTATGCGGTTTCTGTGAGGATCAAATGACATAATGACTATAGAAGTGAAATCCACATGCAACATCAAAGAGAATTCTTTCCCAGGGGCCAGGCCACCTCCATCTCTGAGGCCTCTGTTCCTGGCATCGATCTTGTGCTTAAGAGAAAGCTCTATTCATTTACCTGGAAAAACAACGGAAATCCCTAGAACTTGGAACATTGGGAAACCGTGCATTTCATGTGGTGAAAACAAGGGTCCTTGATGTCTTTGGGGACATCACTGGTGTCTGTTCTGAGTCTCACTGTGCTCATACGACCAGCAGGGGCGCATCCTGGCACAGCTCCTGGTTGTCATGTACTGGCTGGATATGTGCAGTGAGAAGAAGACCATGCTGATGTGCCCACTGCAAACTTGGATAGATCTTTCTGTTGAGTGAACAGGAACAATGCCCCCCAGACCCTGGGATGTGCTGCTACTGCTTTTTACACATGTGTCTTGGTTAGTATTGATTTTTAAAAGAAAGACTGGGCCAGGGCGGGTGGTTGGCACTGGCAGGTTGGTTTAAGCAGCACATACATGATTCTCTGAGCTATCCTGGGGCAAACCAAAGTACAGGATATTCTATTAACTAGAACTCGGTAAGTGCCACATTCCTGTTCATAATAATTAACTGTGGCTCCAGGAGATAATGAGGCAGTTTATGAGTAAGAAAACAAAAGGTGGGATAATGTTCCATGGAGTTAGACCATTAAGCATTCTTGGCAGTTGGTGATTCTTGAATGAGCTCTGTGGAAACCCTGCCAATCATGTTTGGTTATCCAGGTGCCATGACTATATCTGACAGCAGAGAACTGACTGTGGTCAGTTCCCTTTCTCTGCAGGATAGCGACACTTGCGTTTCCCATTGCCCCCTAATCCTGACTTCTGTGAGACTCTGTTTTAAGGCTGAAACGTCTGCCCCTCTTTCATATTCCTACTTATTCTTCATAACCCATCTCAGATGTCATGTCTTCTGGGGAGCCTTCCTGATCTGCCAGTGGAATAAATCATTCCCTCCTCTGTACCAACTTATTTCAAATAAATACACTTCCCGCACTGCGTTCGAGTGTATTGCCATGCACATCATTCCTATGAGACTGAGCTGCTTCCTTATATATCTGGAGGCTGAGTTCCTGGCACAGCACCAGCCCTCGCAGCAGGAGCTCAAAAGCACTTGATGAATTGCATTGCGCTGACTCTAATGTGGCTGAAGAATAACTTCATGGACATGTGCATTTCCATGATACACTTGCTGAGAAAAATTAAGCTTGATAACTTATGTTTGTATTCAATTATCCCCAGAGAGAAAACACATTTGTCTGTTGGCCAGCAGGACCAGGAGAATTGTCTTGGCAGGGGACAGGATATGGACAGAGGGAGATGGGAAGCACAGCTGGTGCCTTGTGGCCTGACATCTTGAGTGGTAACCTTTACTTGCCAACTCAAGATTCTGGCCCAAAGGAAGCTCTCTCCAAGACTATGTTGGTATTAGTTCCTGTACTTTCTAAAAAATATTAATTTACACAGTTGTGACTCCCATCCTTTTTTATTGGCGTCTTACTCTAAGACGGAAAAGAAAAACTTATGTGGAAAGGAAGCATGAGTGTCTGTGTTAGGATGGAGTTGGTGGGTTGGTAGGAGGTGGGGCATTGAGCCAGAGACCCTGAGTCTAGGCCAGCTGTGGCTGACCTGGTGTTCATGAGACTCTTGGCGCTGCTGGCAGAGCTGCTCCAAAATACAGAATCATTAAATTATGTTGTTAGATATGGCACTGGCTAGAAGTCACAGATTTATGAAAGCAGGTTGGTTAAGAGTACAGGCTCTGTAGCCAGACAGCCTGGGCTTGAGTCCCAGCTCGGCCACTTACTAGCTGTGTGACCTTGGGCACGTTGCTTAAACTCTCTGTGCCTATATGCTGTTCTCTAAAATAGAGATAATATGATTACCTACCTCAATAGGGTTGTTATGACAAATAATTAAGTCAATATTTGCAAGATGCTCTGAACACTGCCTGGCACCTAGTAAGCACTATAAAAGGGCTTGTGAAATAAAATGGAAAAACTGCCGTGGAACTTGAGCTTAGAAAGGGAACCTTAAAAATCATCAAGGGTAACCACGATCCAAAGTTCAAGTGCATTCTGCTACATTCCTGCCAAGTGGTCATTCTTCTCTATGTGCCTGCCCTGGTAGCTGGAAGCTCCCTGCCTCCTGAGGCAGCCTGAGAGTGAGCATGAGTGTGAGCAGATGAGTGAGAGAGAGAGTGAGCAGGAGAGAGTTGAGCATGAGCATGAGCAGCAGAGAGAGCAGGAGAGTGAGCAGCCCTCTTACCACGGACAGTGTAACCCAGAGCCTCTACCAGCTGCCGGCCGGTGTTCCCTTGGGCTCCAAATTGCAGGATCTCCAGAGGGATGGACACGCCAGCTGGAGAAATGACGACGTTTGCTCCACTTCTCGCTGCTGCCACGCTCCGGTAGAGGCGAAGTGCGAGCTCGGTCTTCAGCAGCATCAGGTCCTCCCGGAGGTCGCCGTTTCCTCCAGGGAGGCAGGAGTGAAGGAGCAAGAGAGCGAACAGGAGAGGCCCCATGGAGGCAGGGAGTGTTCCTGCAGTTCAGAGGGAAGAGATGCAGGTGAGGGGAGAGACGGTCACATCCTACGGAGAACTGGGCCATCCCTGCTCTGTGTTCAGGGGCTGGGAATGGCCGAGGAAGATGTTCAGTTAGCAGCCTTAGTTACCCACCCCCAGTCCCACCCTGCACCCGCCTGCTCTGCTGCATCCTGCTGAGTCTGCATTGGAAATACTCACTGTGAAACCAAACTGTAAGTTGGAAGACCTGGATTTTAGGCCTGCTTCTGTCACTTATTAGATGTCTGACCTTGGGCAGGGCCCTGGTCGACCAGAAGCAAACCATTATGTTGGAAAAGAAATGTAAGAAGTACGTCCTACTCATTTTTCTTGGTATTTAGCCAGCTTACAGCTATGCCATGTCTGTCATTAATAATAATAATAATAATAAACTATATGATATATTAAAAGGACTTTGTATTTTCTCAATATTACAACAATCTTAATGGGTAGCTGCTATTATATTTCAAATATAGAGATGATGAGGTTTAGAGAGCTCAGTGAATCATTTAAGAAAACTCATGGGGAAAGAAACAGGCCCGTGACTCAAGTCCTGGTCTTCTATGAGTGGTATATAAAATATCGAGATATAAATGTACATTAAAATATTGACGCATGAGCTAATTGTACATTCTTGTGATGTGAATTATTCTCATAAAAAAGAACACTTTGACAGGGAGCAGAATTATACAAATATAGCTCCTGCCACAGAAACGTACCCCTCCAAGGAAGAGAGATCATTAGCTGGAAATTCAAGCAAAGAAGAGAAAGGCAAAGCACAAAGTGTTTTCAGTGACTATGCCACACATGCAGCCTACAGCAGTGTTTGCTAAGTGTTCTAACTTTGGTATCAGACAGGATTGGTGTGGGAGAGGCCCAGTCCAAAATCACTGCCTATGAGACGTTTACAAGTGAAGCCACTGGACTCAACAGTGTTTACTTCAGATACAGGCCCACGATGGAAAAGCGTCCTCTCTTTCTCACCTCTTCCTTCCTGCAGCCAAGCAAAGATGCAGGGCTTGGATGACTTGGCATCGTAGGGGTGGGGATGTGCATGTGTGTCGGTGTCTTTCTGTGTGTGTGTTTGGAGGTAGCAGGTCCCAGCCCAGGGTCATTTGTGAAATGACCAAGTCCCAGTGCTCTTGCAGCAACTATAACCTCCCACAAGGACCCTCAACAATCAGATCTTCCTGACCCTGGGCTCCCCGTGACCACGTCCTCGCCATGGTTCACCACGGATGAGCTGCTTACTCACGGACTCTCGTAGGGCACTGTTGCGTTTCCTTGCTTGTCTGTTCTTGTGGGTCTCCAGCATTAACATGCTCCCCTTTTAAAAACGTGGAGCAGAATCTGCTTTGAATCACAAGACAGCACAGGGAGGAAGCTGGCAATTGCCGTCTCTGTCGGCGATGTCTCTACCACTCGGTCCAGATTCCTGGAGCCTGAGGTCCTGCAGAGAGCCAGGAAAGGGGCACAGCAAAGCCCAGATCGGAAACAGAGCGGGCCGTGGGGAGGGAGCCAGCCACACCCGTCAAGCCTTCTTAGGCTTGTGACCTGGTTGTACCAGCAAGGAACCCCTCTTCTAGCTCTTTGTCACTGTGAGGAATTCCACTGATAACTCTGCCCTCAGGGCTTTTGCTGGGTACCAGGTACCTAATGCTTCTCCCCTCCTCCTGTGAAGAAAACAATAAATCAGTCATTGGGCCCTTGAAACTTTTAGCAAATGAAATTCTGCAAAAGAGAAAGAAAACAACGCAAGATGTGGCACAATCAGATTGGGACAGGGTGACTTGCCTTATTTATTATTAATAAAAGTGAATGTACTCATTTATTTGTAATATAAGCACTATTAACAATCTGGTTCTTCTCAGATACAACAGTTAATAAATTCAATGACTTAATTTGAGAAAGAGAGCATGTTGTTCAGGAGTAAATGCATGTTTTGGGAAAGTATAAACAGATTCTGTCAAAGGTCTGTCCTTGTGACCAATTCAGAATTACATACATGTCTATTAATGTCTTAGGCATTGTATTAAGTTCAAAATAGATGAAAGGTTATATATTGCTAAAGATTAAAAAAAGAATAAGAAGACATTTGGGAATGAATGCAATTCTTAGTAATTATCTCTCAGGCACCTTTTAGTGTTAAAAATGAGTGAGAATGTTTTTCACCTGACCACTACTCATACCCTTTAATCACTTTAAAGCAGAGTTTTATTGCTGACACTCAAGCCTGGGATAGTTTATAGGTCTTAGGATAGTTGCAGTTCTATAACTGTTTCACATGAAATCTCCTCAAATCTTTAATTTAGATCTAAGTGCAGTATTGCATGTCTTGGACTCAGTATGATGAGGGAATAAATATGTACAACTTATTTTATAGCACCTAGAGAGGACATTCCTTCCATCCATCCATCCATCCATCCATCCATCCATCCATCCATCCAACAAATACCTCTTGCTTGCCTGCTAGGTTCCAAGGTGCTGTGCTGGGTCCTGTGGATGTGGCAATGAACCAGCAACCTGGGCTCAGCTCTCATGGGATCTAGAGTCTTGTCCACTGAGAGCCGACTTTTGATGTTGATGCTGATGGTTTTAAGAAGAAAGAGCCGACCCTGAGAAGAACCATGGTAACTTACAGGAGTTGTCTCCCAATATTGTGAGTTCCCTGTGGCTGCAATTATTTGAGCAGAAGCTGATTCACTATTTGCCAGTGGTGGGGTTGGGGAGATGCTTGTAAAAAGATTCCCAAATTGGAAAAACTTCAGGCTGTGTGACTTCTATGAATATTCCTTCCTAACTCTAAGAATTTATCATTCTAAATTGCTTTTGAAAGACATACTCAAGATAAAATATGCTAGAGAAACTTAACATGGAAAAAAAAATTCCTGTATAGGTTAAACATTTCAAAGAGTGAATGAGTGAAAGATGAACTGCAACTGATTTTTCTTTTGTGTGCTCAGCTGTGGACCTGGGTAAGTCACTGCGTTCTCTGACCATGTAGACAGAGATTAACATGCTTGTTTCTATCTTGCTGGGATATTGATTATGCTGCTAAGGGAGCCTCCATTCTTCGAGGTATTTATTCATAATTATAACAAAAACATAGGGAACATTACTGACCACTTACTGCGTTCCAGGTACTCTGTTATATACTTTCCATTCACAATTGCAATGAATCCTCACAACAATCCTACAAGGAATGCATTATTATCCCCATTTTGCAGAGAACAAAACTAATGCTTGATGAGCTTAAGGTACTTGCCCAGGTTCTGGATTTGAACCTAGGGCCACCTTGACTCCCAGGCTCATGCTCTTTGCCACAGTCTTGGTGATGTCTGTCAGGAGCCCCAGGGCTCTTGAAATCCTTCTTGGCTGTGGCATTCTAAGACATTTGGTGGCCAGCCTAGACTCTGTTGGCTCAGAGTGTGTGTCCACTCTGCCCACATTCACCAGGGACGCTGTGGTGACTCTCCTGCAGACAGACTGCTATGAGGTACAGCACCTTTTTAATCACGATTTTTAATTTTTCACAACCTAATTTCTTACAGGCATAAGCAAATCGCTTTCAAACCCAGAGGACTACCAAACTGATGTGAAGGACAGAAGCATTGCATTTTAATTCAGCTGGAACATAATTAGGACACAGACATCTCCTCTTTGTTGTGTGGGCTGCTTGTCTGGGGTTGTGTGGAGAGAGTCCACTGTCTCTGCCCTTGAGGAGTTGGCCATGGAAAGAGAGCACACTGACCCCTAGAGACATGGAGGCCAGAGAAAGAAGCCACAGGGCGCTGCTAGAATAAGTCGGAAAGCAGCGCAGGGAACCCAGCACGCGATGCTGCGGAATCCGACAAAATGGCAAGTCCTTCAGGGGAAACCGTGCAGGTGGGCTCCCACCCGTCCTCCCAGGAGGGAGAAGATGGAGAGGGCTGCCTCTGGGCTTTCTGCCGTCACAGCTCACGCCTGCAACCTGGCCCTCAAGTCTTCATAGTTACCCAGTGCACAGACTCAAAAGGAGGAGCTAGACCTTGCCTTTCAGCACCTTTCAGTATGACGTAGTAGAGACAGCAGGGAGGCCTGGCCTCAAATCACTGCTTCTTACTAACCACAGACCTTGGGCAAGTCACGGAACTGCACTGAGCTTTAGTGACCACTTCTGCAAAATGGGCATTAGAATATCTACCTCTCACTGGGAAGATTAAATGAGACAGCTCCTATAAAGCACCTAGTGGGGTACCTGATAAGTAGGAAAGGCTAAAAACGTCTTGTTCTTTGGATTATGCCTCTACCCCACCCATTTTATCTTAAGAAAGGACCATTGAGGTCACTTTCATGCTCACATAGGAAGGGGCTCTGAGAATCACCATGTAAATGGCCAGGATGTGAATCTGTGCTGTTTCATCCAAAAGTATCTTTTTTGATGTCTTGTAAGAAAAAGCTTGGAAAAATTTTTTTTTTTTGGTGAGGAAGATGGGCCCTGAGCTTACATCTGTGCCCATCTTCCTCTATTTTATATGTGGGATGCCTGCCACAGCATGGCTTGATAAGCAGTGTGTGGGTCCGCGCCCAGGATCCAAACCCGTGAACTCCTGGCCACCGAAGCAGAGCATGCGAACTTAACCACTACACCACCGGGCTGGCCACCAAAAGGTTGGAAACTTTAACAAGAGACAATGGACTTGAATTCAGAGCTAATTTTTATCAGACTTGTAAAAAGTAAGTCATTCAGTGTTGTGACCTCAGGTGCAGAGGGTTGAGCTAATCTTTCTCAGTTCGTGCTGTGGCATCACTCTGGTCCACGCAAGGATGCCCTCTTGTTTGTTATTTTGTTTCCTTTAGGAATGTGCTCTTGAAAAATGTGTATTGTTGTTTTGTGTACATGCGTTTTAGATTTACATATATGGTTTTATATTCTATATTTCATGTACCCTGATGTTTTTCAATGAATGCTGTGTTTTTAA